CCCCCCCCTCCCCTCGCCCTCCCCTTCAGTTGCCGGTCTCCTGGCTCTTCTCGCGATTACCTGTCCGAGTCCTCTCCTGGTCTCTGGTCCTCCTTCTCAAACACTCCCTTGATATTGTGTGCCGGCTTTCTGCCCAGCCCTTGCTCATCTTCTCTGTCTGCCCACCTTGTGCATGGTCACGCTTTCTCGAAGATCGGCTATCCTTGCCCGGCGTTCACCAATCCCGCGGATCACCTGCTGGCGCTGCTGCACTATGACGAGCACTCGCATGAGGACTCCGAGGAGAAGGCCGAATCGCCGCAGGACCGCTTTGATCGCCGGGTTCGCCACATTTTGCACTGTTGGCGTGTCCACACGCGGGAGAGGAGGCTCCTCGAGGCCCAGCAATCCAGCCTACCCAGCGGTGGCCCCGCCGACTCCCTGGCCGAGGAGAATCCGCTGCTTGTGCCCGATCCACTGGTTGATGCGCCGAGCCTTCCTCTCTGGCGGGAGTTGTGGCTGCTGCTCACGCGATCCATGCTAGACACGATCCGGTCGCCGAGCTCGTTGCACATCCGAATGCTCCAGGCCCTGGCCGTGTCTATCCTCTTCGGCACGGTGTACTACAAGCTGGGGACGCACGTCAGCTCGGTCCAAAGTCGCACCGGCATGCTCTTCGGCGCGCTGATTTCGGTCCTCCTAAACGGCATGATGGCGCTGATCCTGACCTGTGCGTGTTTTCTGCCCGTCACCTCCCTTTGGCCACTTCTCTTTATCTGCCCCGCCCCTTTCTGCCGCTCCTCCCCCCCCCCCACTCGATTACCCCTTTGTGTATGCATTTCCGCCCCCCCCCCCTCTCCCCTCTCCCCCCTCTGACACCCTTCCCTGCATGGCGGCTCGCCACCTCGACTCAGTCCCCGTGGAACGGGCCGTCTTCTTCCGCGAGCAACAGCACTCGCGTTCATATCGGATTTTCAATTACTACATGTCCAAGTTCTTGACGGACATTCCCTTTGCCCTGCTCCAGGCAATCCTCTTCTCGCTGCCCATCTATTTCATGAGTGGGCTGAATCTCGACCCGCCGCGCCGCCTGCTGGCCTTCATCGTGGTCAACTTCGGGATTTGCCTCAACGCACAGGTGCGTCCACGTGCTTGCATTCGAGAGCCGATTACTCTCCC